GGTAAGATTTCTAGGCTTCACTAATGTGCTACTTATAAAATCTATACTATGTCATTCATTTTTATGTGATTTTTTAAAATACAAACATATTTTTTAATGTGTATCTTGTTCTCTACACAATTTTTATATACAACTTTGTGTGTGTGTATGTGTTTAAAGTATGACTAGGCAAATGCTTATAAAATTAATGCTCTTGTTTGTCTAGGGTAACTTATAATACTATACTCTAAATTAGTTTATTAAATGACATCAAGTATGATACTTTATTTCTGGGAGAAGATTATACCTAATTGGTTTTATAAATTATTTTTAAAATATTTACATATATATATATTTTAGTAACTATGTCAGATAATTTACCAAAAGATGGTATATTTTTCAAAGCCAAAACAGATTAAACATTTTATTAAATATCAAAATATTATAATCTCAACACCTGTGATATCTTTGGTGTATATTATTTTTCTATACACAGTTTGAATTCATGTCACTTAATTTTTTTGTTCAATAAACAGGCATTAGTCCATAAAATTTCCATGTTATTAGTAACCACAGCAGTGTAATTAACATTTGCAATTAATACTTAAAAGTATTAAGTGTAAAAGCAATAAATACTTAATACTTAAAAGTGAACACTGAATATTATAAAAGTCATAATTAAGGTTATAAGGATGCAGTAACACATTTTATTTATATAGTTATATTTCTCATATCTAAATTAACATATGAATAATCCTTAACTCCTCATTTAAGGTTTTTAAGTAAGAAAAATTAATAAAGATAAAATATAATGATTTCATTTGGAACTAGATTATAAATTCCTTCAGGATAAGGAACCATGTCTTCATATAATTGATCATCTATGAAAATTTGATGCATTTACTTTTTATTCTTATATTCATTGAAAAAGCCTGCATATTAATCTTTAAATCCATTGCCATTTAAAAAAATTCATATTTAAACATTTAGATTTTGTATTTTGATAGCATGGTTAAAGGCTATGCAAAAAAGGAGAAAAAAACAGAAGTACTGAACATTTGCATATATTGTGAAACAAAAGCAAAAGCCTCATCTTTGAATTTAAATTTAACAGAATGGTTAGCTTTTTATTCCTATTATGCTGAATAAGGGGGGAAAGGATTCTGAAGAAAGTATAGTTAAGATTAAAACCATGTTTGAAACTGGTTTTGCAAATCAAAATATTTTAAGCTTTGTTTTTCCTGGAGCACTCTTGGAATGAATGTGTTTCTAAAATTTAAACCTTCCTTTCTCCCTTTCACAAAATTAAACACTTTTGACATTAGTATTCCATCTTTGTTACATTGTGGCTTTAGTATTCCTCTGGCACCTATATTTTGAAAATGTTTAGACTCAATTGAAAGCGAAGTAAAGTGGTGAAAGTAAAAAATTAATTAGATCTGTCCTATTCCACCACCAAAATATTTGCTGTAGTGTTGTACACTTATTATTAACGGAGCTGAAAGACATATAAGGCAATTGTAATTGCATTTGAAATATAAAACTCAGAAGGCTGCAATGAATGCAAATTTAAGCAAGTTAGAAAACCAAATTACAACTGGAACATGAAGTTTTTGAGGACAGAAGCACTGTACTGAATCACCAAAGGTCAAAGATACTTTTCAAAAAATTGAAATGTTCTGTGTACAAAAGATAATACACTTTTGATGTGGTTGTATAACTCAGGAAGTGTAGACAAGCAACACAAAACAGAGCCAAATTAGAGAACATAAAAAAAAATGTATCTTTATTATGTCTTTCAAGTTAAAAGAAAAATTGCAATTTCTAAAGGTTTAAAAGTAAGGGTTGTGCTATTGACACTTTAAATTTGTTGGCAATTCATAAAAGTTAAAGTGAATCTGTTAAAAGCCGAGAGTGTGCTAACGAAGGGATCTGGTTACAAGAATTATTTCTTACATTGGCTATATGCAATTCGTGATATTTCACTGACATTTGGGGGTTTATTTTAACTGTAGGTTTTATTTTTAACTTGTTTTTAAATTTTTTTCCAGCATTATGGTTCCATAATGTAATTTCTGAAGAGTTTGGAGTGGGAGTGAATATCTTTTGGAAGCACCTTCCATCTGAATGCTATGATAAAACAGATACCTATGGAAACAAAGATCCTGTAGCAGCATCAAGAGCTGCACAAATTTTGGACAGAGCCTTAAGAACACTGGCTGAATTGCCAGAGGAGTACAGGGACTTCTATGCAAGGCAAATGGTCTTACACATTCAAGAGAAAGCCTACAGCAAGAACTTTGAGTAAATGATTAAGTGAGTGCAATGCATATAAACATTTTAATAAAATTTGGCTCTAATATTGGAAAAGGATAACAAGATATAAATTTTTAAAGATTCATTCTTTGTTAAAATAGGAAAGATAAAAATAAGTCAATTGCAGATTTACAAATTAAATAACTGTGAAGGGGTTATGTGTAGTACCTACTTAATACAGATTATTATAGATTTTAAAAAAACAGCTTTCAGGTACAAATCACTAAAACGCCAACTTAAAATGACTTAAACAGTAAGAAAATACA